TATGAGGACACCAGTCACTGGATGTAAGACCCAACCCGGGCCAATATGATTTCATTTGCTCTTTCCCTTGTTTATATCTCTAAAGACTACTTCCACATAAGGTCACATTCTAAGGATCTGGTGGACGTGAATATTGTGGGGGACGCTATTCAATCCACTACAGCTTCCTAATAGTGTATTTACCCAAAGAGCTCCCATTTTATTACACGTCTTCATGAACACTACCTTCGAGTGGATGTACAATATTCTTTTTCCCAGTTGGTGGACATTGAGATTGGAGAGGGCTGCCATTAGCACGTAGGACCTTGATGCACAACATACGAAGGCGCTCCCTTCTCTGGGCTGACTGAGGTGCCTAGCTCCATGAGCTGATCAGGGGCTGGATTTCAGCCTCCATTTACCCCCTTTGCAACTCATCCTTGTGCAGGGCACAACATGCATGCTGGACGTGGTGGCCCAGGTTTGAGAGAATGGCACTCGGGACGGGTTTGTTACTGTTTTAGAATATGGAAGCTCAATTTTGCATTTGGCTTTTTTTTTCTGCTTCGGAGTGGGAAGTGCAGAGTGTCTGAATTAAAAGAGGCCCTAGAAAATGCCTCAGTTACACAGAAGAGAATAATTAGACGATTCTATGTTAATTTGCTGTGTATTGATTCACAGAACATAGTCAAAATTTATTATTGTTCAGTCTTAGGAAACAGAGACCCAGAAATTTTCACTAACTTTGCTGTAGACTGGGATAAAATCTCAAATCTCTGGACCTTCCTTGGTACCTTGATTGTATCCTGCTGACCCCTGTAGAAACCCTGCTTTAGCTGTGATGTAATCATTATTTAGAAGTGTTTATTTTATTATTTTATTTTTTAAAGGTTTTATTTATTTATTTAACAGGGAGAGACACAGTGAGAGAGGGAACACAAGCAGGGGGAGTGGGAGAGGGAGAAGCAGGCTTCCTGCCGAGCAGGGAGCCCGATGTGGGGCTCGATCCCAGGACCCTGGGATCATGACCCGAGCCGAAGGCAGATGCTTAACGACTGGGCCACCCAAGTGCCCCTATTTTTTTTTTTATTAAAGATTTTATTTATTTGAGAGAGTTAGTGAGTGAGTGAGAGAGAGAGCACAAGCAGGGGGGAGGGAGAGGGGGAGAGGGAGAAGCAGACCCCGCGCGGAGCAGGGAGCCCGATGCGGGGCTCCATCCCAGGACCCTGGGATCATGACCTGAGCTGAAGGCAGATACTTAACCTACTCAGCCAACCCGGTGCCCCTTTAGAAGTGTTTATTAACAAGGGCATATTTATCCTTTTATGTCCATATTCTAACTTCTTTTGAAACTACCTCAACCTTCCTTTCTCTCTTTTGAACTCTGCTTTGAAGAATGTTTTTTTGACCAGATAAAGTAAATTGTGAGTGCAGCTTTCTTAAACCAGGATGACCAGTTTTCTGCATATCTTTATAAATATTCATCTATTGCCATAGTACTTTGGTTGTTGTGACAAGCCAGATATTTTAATAGCATATATTTCAAAAGGCAGAAGAGGAAATGTACAGCATCTTCTTATTCTGAAATTTAAATAACTCTTTCGAATACTGATTTTTTTAGTTTTGTAGAGAAAAAAATTCTATTAATTTTCTAAAGCCAAAAATAAATGAAAATAAATACATGAAATCAGTAAGAATTCAAATCTGAAGTCTAATTAGCAGACCAAAATTCTTAGCATTTTCTTTCTCTTCAGATATTGTTGTTCCTTGATGGTTCCTCTCTAAACCTTGGGGTTTAGCACAATCCAACTGCATGCTTGGCTACTAGTAAACTCATGCTGATTGAATGAATAGAACAATTGCCATGTCTCCCTGCCCTTATCCATTCTGCTGTGGCCAGATTGACTATCCATCCTCCAAACCCACTATACCCCTTTCCATCTCCATGCCTTTGCTACCAGTGAGTTTTCTCCAGTGATCCCCTTGCCAAGTTCCTAGTCATCTTTTAAGACCCAGCTCAGATATCACCTCCACTATGAAGCATTCCTCAAGGGCAAGATGATGCCTTGTTCATTTCCGTGTCTCAAGTGCCTGGCACAGAATCAAAGTTAACGAAATGTGTACTGAATGAGCCAGTGAATGAAAGGAAGGGACAGAGCCAGTATCCCACAGCAGATAAGAACTTGGGCTTTGTGGTCTGACAAACCGGATACTCATGGACCTGCTTCTTGACTTACAATGGTGTGACCTTGGTCAGATTACTGCCTCACTCGGAGAGGTCATTTCCTTAGCTGTAAAATAAGGACAATGATAGCATCTGACTCAAAACATTCTTGTTAGAATGAAGTGAGATCCTGTGCATAAAATCCTTCACCTAATCAGTGCTAAATGATAGTCAGTGTTGATAAATTGTTTCCTTTGATTGCACCAGAGAGATTGCAGTCCTGCGGGAGTCTGGCTGACCTCAGTGCAGTTCTATCAGATGCAAGTATTTTGGTCCAGGAGCCAGGGAACTGTCATGGCCGCCACCCCCTTTCCCTTCCAAACTAGATGGAGTAAAACTGCAAAAACACGGACTCCCAACTACCTGGAAAATGCTAACTGACTAGAATTTTTCTCTGGCATTCAAGTTTTAGGACAAAGAGACAAACCACAGACACAAAAAAGAAACTAGTGTGAGGATTTTTTTTTTTTTTAAATATAGAAACTGCAAGTAACTTCTAGGGGATGACCTTAGAATTACCTTTAGCCTAAATTTCTGGCCCTTTATGTGGTGGCAAATACATACCTTGGGGATTGAATTTTGCATATAGACTGGTGATTTGGCCTAACACTGTTTAAAAGAAAAATTCGAAATGGATGTCAACATGCAAAAAACCTATTATGGAAATTTTCAAATGTATGCCAATTTAGAGTGATTGTCTAATGAATCTCCATGCAACTCCTATCCAGCTTCAGTAATTAGCAATCCTCTGCCACTCTATTTCATCCCTCCTCTTCTTTTGGTTTGTTTTGCTAGACTTTTAAAAGCAAATACCAGATATCAAATCATTTCACTCATAAATATTTCATTGTGTATCTCTATTGGGTAAAAACGTAAAAACAGTATAACTACAATCCCTGATCTTAACGAACAAAATTGAAAATAATTTCTTAATATGATCTAAAACCCAGTCTATATTCAGTTTTCCTTGTTTGTACCAATAAAGTCTTTTTACAGTCCTTTTATTGGAATCAGAATCCAAATAGTCCACAAACTACATGTGTTGGCTATTTGTTTGAAGGCTCTTAATTGGTAACAGTTCCCCTGCTTTTATCCTATGCTATTTACTTCTTTTTTTTTTCAATTTAAATTTTTTATTTGAGCATAGTTGACACACACAATGTTACATTAACTTTAGATGTACAATGAAGTGATGCAACCTTTCTGTAGGTTATGCTGTGCTCACCACGAGTGTTTCTACCATCTGTCACCATCAACACTATTACAATACCATTGACTAGAGTCCCAATGCTGTTCCTCTCATACCCATGACTCATTCATTCCATAACTAGAAGCCTGTATCTTCCACTCTCCTTCACCCATTTTGTTCAGCCCTGCACCCCTTCCTCTCATGCCCTTTACTTCTTTAATAGTTTTTAAATTGATAAACGTTTCACAAAAACATGGATTTATGGAAGATCTGGCAGGGCTGGTTAGACTCTCATAAGCAGCATAGTAGAGGCTATGGTCTTTAAACCATGCAGGTGGCTCCAGGTATCCACAGTTCACACCAGTCCCCATTCCACCAACCAGCTTAACCCACCTCTGTTACCCGCCCAGCTCCCGTGAGCGTTGTGCTGGCGATCTCTGACCTACATATACATCTGTTGGCCAATGAGGACTGAATCCTGAATGACGGCCTTGAAGTTTAGAAACATCCCTAGTCATTAAGTAAATGCTCAGTTTTGTGCACTCTATTACTTAGGTAGGAATGTAAACTGAAATGCTTAAAAAGCTTTCAGCAAGGACCTAAATCCACAAAGGATTTTATTTTACAAATCTTAAATTGGCCTGAAACTTTAGGGATTGGCGTCTCTCTTTTCTTGAGCATTCATTCTAGTGAATTTGCTTCATAGCCCTCCATTCTGTAAGTTTCTTTTTCACCTGTGTGAAGGTTGGAGCCTACAAAAGCCACTGGACAAGGTGTCAAGGGACTCAGACTTTAGTCTTGGTCCTCGATGACCCATGGGCTGCCATTTTGCCTCTCTGAGACACCTTGGAGTGGAAGGAATAACTGCCTTGCTCTCAGGGTTGTTGTGAAGTTCAAGTAAGGTGACAGATGTGAAATTAGTTCATAAACTGTGTAGCTCTACGCTTAAACAAGGTATTACTATGCACAAGGATACATCAAATTATGTATAATAGCCTTTTTCACACTTCTCTGCACTTACTCTCTTGTGCCTTTTCCCTGGAATGCCCTTACGAATTAATTGCTAGTCATCTGTGATCCCCAAATACTTGATGCCTATTTCTTTACAACATTTGCCACACTGTATTAAAGCCATTTGTTTGCATCTTTGTCTTCTGCGAAATTCTGAGCGTAAACTGCAGTTTATTCAGTGCTCAGCACACAGCAGACTCTCAGTAAATATCTGCTGAATTAGATAGGATTGATTTTAATAATTATTATGTGCACCTGTCTTAAAGGACAAAGTCTGTGCCTATACAATGCGTTAGCTATAACGTCTGGTCACTGACCGATCTTGGCTCTTGTTAAAAGCTTTTGATATTGATGGTGATGATGATGAGATAGTTATAAAAATAGAGTTTTGTATTTTTAATTTAAGTAAACGATTAGACTTTTGGAGTATATTACTAATCATTTAAGCTCATCAACAATGAAAGAATCTAAATGTGGAATGCCTCTCATTTAAAGAGAATTTCCTTTCCTGCTGGGAAAACTTAAGCTACCGGTCATTGTTTTTGGCCCCATTGTCTGGTTCTCTTCACGAAGCAAGGGCTCCTTGTTCTTCTACAGCTGGTTTGCCATCCATCCGGTCAGCATGAACAACAGCAATCATCTCGTCAATAGCGACAACATGGGCTATGCCTCTTACCTTTTTGAGCAAGAGAAGAACAAAGGCTACCTACCTGGACAGGTGAGAATTTGTGTCATTGAAAGCATCATCTTAATGTGCTGAGTATCACCATTCATGCAGTGCTCAGAAGAGCTGATTCAAGTAATGAATCATTGAACGCTGAATCAAGAACTAATTACGTACTATACAGTGGCCAACTGAACAACAACAAGAACAACAAAAGAACAGCCGATTCAAATCCTCAGCGTCAAGCGTCATCATGGATGTCACATACTCACATGCTCGGATAAAAAGAATTCTCCATCCTCCCTGATGGGGAAAGAAAAATTAAAAATGGCTAACTGTGTCAAATACTACTCATATGGATGGCTTCATACAGTTACAATTGGTTGGATAAGGAAGGACAAGTTCAAGATTTTGGCAATATGGAATAGTTTTTGACCAACTTGGAAATATGATAAGCTGTGTTGATGTTTACTTTTGTTTTCAGAGCTGTAAGTGTTAACCCGACTGAGGACAAGGTGATGCATCTTTTTCACTGGTCCGGATTTCCCTGTTAATGGTGAATTTCCTTTCAAGGGGTTTGTCTTCCTTTCCTTCACTAAGACCAAAGTCAGAGACAGCCCTAAAGCACCAGACTTGTTTTTTAACTTTGAAACGCAATGAGAGCTGCAATTAGAGATGAGGGCTGGACCTCAGTCCGTGTACTTCAGAAAACTCTGTGTAAATTAGTGACTACAGACAGCTTAGTGGTGAGGGGGGACCCTGCTCTGTGTGACCCTAGTGTTCAAGTCCCAAATGCAGAAGAATAGAGGAGGATGAGAGCCCCAGGCCCTTGACTAGAATAAATATCTAAAAGGTGTATGATGATATAAAAGTTATTGGTCCTGTGAACATTTGATCTGATCTTTTAGCTCCTTGTTGACAAAACACTTTTTTTTTTCATTTTAGATTGAGTTTTAGGGAAAGAAAAGGAAGTTCCCATTTATGATCACTGGCTGCTAGGCCCTTTGAGATAAGTTATCTTTTTGGTATGCAAAGAGACACATGATCTCCGTTATCTCTTTCCCTAAGAAAACCGAAGACACTGAAGGTGGAGTGGTAGACCAGCTAGCTGGGTTGAGGTTAAAGTCTTGCACCACTCAGAAACCTTCTGTGTTGTTACTTCAGGTTGAAGGGATAAGAGAAAAGCTACACGGAGGCAGATCTAGATGGTGGACACTATATTTAGGTTCAGTTTTGCCACAGGAAAATCTGGATTCACGATATTTTCTTTTCAGCCAGTAGATTTAATTTTCAAGGAAAATCTCTGAGCTCCAGATACAATACCAGAGAATAGCTTGATGAGTCAGCATTTTACGATTTGTTGTTGTTGTTGTATGCTGTGTTTTTTGTCAAAATGTTTCTGTTTGTGGCACAGGTTTGAAACTCTCCTACTTGAGATGGCTTTATTGATCATTGGAATATCATGGGTAGTAGTGTGTATGTGGACTGCAATGTGAATTTTTTTTTCAGAAATTTTCTCAGAATGTTATACCTCCTCCTTTTAATTGTCTGCAGATGATTTTGAATTGTTCACCAGAGTGGATTGAATGTTTGCATTTTTAATGGAAGTCAGTATGGGAAATAAGAAAGAATAAAAGACACTTGGATGTTTCTTTTGGCAGGGGCCGTATGTAGCAGCCTTTGCTTCATCAAACCTGGGAGATGTGTCCCCCAATATTCTTGGCCCACGCTGTGTCAACACAGGAGAGTCTTGTGATAATGCCAATAGCTCTTGTCCTATCGGTGGGGTAGGTAATCGTGACATGAAATCTTTGTTTTTGCATCTCATGTGCACTTTATGTTTAAATATCCACCATTAACTTATAATTATGTTTTCCTCAAGTATACACAGGCCTAGGGACTGCTAGCTTTTCCCCTTCTCAGAAGCACCCACTAAATTCGGATTGGGTAAAATTCTAGTTTCCCATTGGATTGACCAGTAAGTGAAGTTAGTCAATGTCAGAGATGCAATATGCTTCCCCAAATTTGGACAGTCTGAAACACTTCGCCTTGGCATTTCTGACATCACGAGTTAGTACCAGAAACTGCCTGCCTGCGATGTTTCTCACTGATGGTAAAGTCTATAGGTTTTTTAAAAAAAATATAAGATCAACAATTTTTCTTTTCTTTAAAATCACAAACAGGCGCTTGAGTGGCTCAGTCAGTTAAGCATCTGTCTTCGGCTCAGGTCATGATCCCAGCATCCTGGGATCGAGTCCTGCATCAGGCTCCCTGCTCAGTGGGGAGCCTGCTTCTCCTTCTCCCTCTGCCACTCCCCCTGCTTGTTTTCAAATACATAAATACAACCTTTAAAAAAATGAAATGAAAATAAAATAAAATCACAAGCAAAAAATCTTGCTGTAAAACTCATGCAACATGGAAAACACAGACAGCCGTAATAAGTGAGTTCGATTCACTCCCTTCCTCCCTGCCTCACCATGAGTTACAACTGTCACACCTCTTTCTACATACTCACTTAAGTATTCATGAACAAAGTTTCGTAACTTATTTATTGATTTTTTTATTGGTCTGGGATTTGAGTTTTCCACCTCATAGGTCTTAAAAATCTTTTTATGACTATATATAGGTCTGTGTGGTAGGTTTTAAAGACAACAAGAACGGCTCTACCATTGTTTATTTAACTGCTTCTCTGCCATGTTCATTTAACTGCTTCTCTGCCATGTTCATTTAGGTTTTTTTTTGGCTTTGACTTGAGCAACAGATGCTAGTTTCTGGGCTCTTATTCTTTTTGTCTTTAGAACATGTCACCTGTGATATTACTTTTAATAAACATCATTTCTGGGCTATTACTTCTATTCCAGTCAATGCCACCCAATGAGTAGTATAGTTTTAACAATTCTATTTTTCTGTTATATATTACCATTTTTATATAGAAAGTCTCCCTTTATTACCCTTCATTTGTAAAATTTCCACACAATATTAATTCAATAATCAACAATTCAACAATTAAATCAATAATTGATCTTTTTTTCCCAATAATTGATCTTTAATCATTAGATTTAAAGATTACTTGTTAAATTCCAAAATTCAGAGATGAAATGCTTAAATAAATTATGAGACCTATTTGCAATAGAATATTATGCATCAACTCAGTGTGTTGTGTTGGAATACTTAATGTGGGAAAAAGTTCATAGTACATGATGTTGATTAAGAAAATCGGCTTTAATATTGCATATTCATGATGATTGCAGTTTTGAAAATAAATGTGTCATAGTAAAAAGACAAAGTGAAACACACTGAATTGTTAACCCTGGTTTTCTCTGTTTGGCATTATTATAGGGGGTCTTTATTCTGTTTATCTTATTTATTGTTTTTATTCTATTTATACACTTTTGCATTTTTTTCTACCATTAGCATACTTCGTAGTCGTAAGAAATTACGACAAAATCATACCCTCTCCCACAACAGCGTTCTGTTTCTCTCTGTTCCACTCCATCTGTTAGATTGGCTTCCCTCATGTTTGCAAGAGGGCAGTCAGTACTGAGGAAGGGGTATCCTTCTTCCCCCCACCCCCACCCCATATATGGCAGGAGACAGAGAAAACCTCTCTTCTAACCATGGAATAAAAGTTCTTTTCGGCTCAAATGGGTCAATGGAGGTATAAACTCATTCCTGGACCAAAGCAGTTCCTGGGGAAATGGTTTCTGTTGATTGGCATAAGCTGGGGTTTCTTTCCAGTCTTTGGCAATGCCCAGGGAATGGCCGTCATCATCTTAGACTGACCTGGAACTGGGAATAGAATCACTCACTGTTAAAGAAGAGATGCCTTTCTGAAGAAAATCGTGATTCGTTTAAGAAACCGAAAGAGGGAAATGGGCAAATTTTGCCATGTCTTTTGCTTTAGTGTTGCTTCTTCAAACAGATTTTTTTGAACTTTAGAAACTAGCTTTGATGTAAAAAAAGATGTATGCTTGTGAAAAACTCAGACAATACTGAAAAGTTCAGAAAACAAAACAGGTAAACGAGCAGCCCCTAACCCCCCAATGAACTTGTTGAAGATTTAATGGCCTGTGTCCAGCCACCAGTCTGCATGTACAGTTGTATTTATTTGGAAGGGGCAGAGGGAGAGGGAGACTCTCAAGCAGACTCCCCGCTAAGCGCGGAGCCTGATGTGGGGCTCGATCCCACGACCTTGAGGTCAAGACCTGAGCTGAAACCAAGAGCCGGACATTCAACTGAATGAGCCCCCCGGGCGCCCCGAGGGCAAATTCTTAGAAGTGAATTTGCTGTCAAAGAGAAAGCATAGCCAGCATGAGGTGTCTGTCAGTCCGGTTCCCGCTAACAGAGCGTGAGTGGCAGTTTCCCCAAACCCTCACTGACACCCGGTTTATCAACATTTCAGTCTTTGCCAACACAACACGCAGAGTTCTTTGTCGTTTAAATTTATATTTAGTTATTCATGAGACTGAGTATATTTTAATGTTGAATGGCCATGTGTACTTCATTTTTGTAAATTACCTATTTCATCCATATTCCATTGTATATCCATTAGGATTTTTTTTTTTTTTTGCTTTTTTTTCCTCCCAGCTCTATTGAGATGTAATGGACATACAACATTGTATAATTTTAAGGTGTACAACGTAATAATTTTGATACACATATAGGATGCTTTTGATTGCAAATAAGAGAAAACCCAACTCAGTATGGATGAATCAAAAGGTATTCAGAAAGTATTCATCCATATTTTCTTTTAATACTTTTTAATTTTCAATTATAATATATAAGTATCTGGTCAATCTCAAAATTTCCTGGTATAAGAAGTGAAGTAAAGAGCCAGATTTATGTACTGATCTTTCCCAGCGGATAATCTAGTTGTTCCAATATAATTTTAACTGAGTTTCAATTGAAGGCAATCATGAGCCTTAGGCAAGAACAGACAGGTAGGAAAATGTGCAACCAATGGGGAACTTGGCTTTAGGTCTTAGCTCACGTATTAGCTACCTGTAAGCTCTGACAAATCGTCCAACCCACCTGAGGCTCAGTGTCCTTACCCATAAAAGTAAGGCGCTGCGATATGTGATTTCGGAAGATCTTCGCTGCTCCATTGCTGTGAATGATTTTGCTTCTCATAATCTGTAGATTGAGAGACTGACAAGAAATGCTAGAATGTGGGTTTAAAACTATGTTTGCTTAGCTTCCCTTGTAATTTTGCATTCCTTAAAACCATTGCTTATTTCACTGAGAGTCTGTCTTGTCTCCCTGTGTTGCAGTCTAGCACGTGCATTGCTATGGGACCGGGAGAGGATATGCTCAACAGCACGCAGATTATAGGACGGATCATATATCAGAGAGCGAAGGTCAGCCGCGGGCCCCACTTCTTTCAACTTCATTTAATCTTGTTCTTTAAAATCCCCCGACAGTGTTCATGACAAAGTCGGTAATGGTAAGAGGCAGCAAGGGCTCGCGCTGGTCCTGGAGTCTGCTAGCACTGGCCTTCTGGGAAGGCTGCTTCCCAAAGGACCCAGGAACCTCTCTCTGACTGCTCATCTGACTTTTTTTTTTAATTTAATTTAATTTTATTAGGTTGTCAGTCATCATGCAATACATCATTCGTTTTTGATGTGGTGATTCATGATTCATTGTTTTCGTATAACACCCCGTGCTCCACGCAGAACGTGCCCTCTTTAATACCCATCACCAGGCTAACCCATCCCCCCACCCCCCTCCCCTCTAGAACCCTCGGTTTGTTTCTCGGAGTCCATAGTCTCTCATGGTTCGTCTTCCCCTCCGATTCCACCCCTTCATTCTTCCCTTCCTCCTCCTAATGTCCTCCATGCTATTCCTTATGTTCCACAAATAGGTGAAACCATATGATAATTGACTTTCTCTCCCTGACTCATTTCACTTAGATAATCTCCTTCAGTCCCATCCATGTTGCTCTAAAAGATGGGTATTCATCTTTTCTGATGGCTGAACATCTTTCCATTGTATATATGGACCAATCTTCTTTATCCACTCGTCTGTTGAAGGGTATCTCAGCTCTTTCCACAGTTTGGCTATTGCAGACATTGCTGCTATGAACAGTGGGGTGCATATGGCCCTTCTTTTCACTACATCTATGTCTTTGGGGTAAATACCCAGGAGTGCAATTGCTGGGTCATAGGGTAGCTCTATTTTCAATTTTTTGAGACACCTCCACACTGTTTTCCAAAGTGGCTGTACCAACTTGCATTCCCACCAACAGTGTTAAGAGGGTGCCCTTTTCTGCACAATCTCTCCAACATTTGTTGTTTCTTGCCTTCTCAATTTTTGCCATTCCAACTGGCATAAGGTGGTATCTCAATGTGGTTTTGATTTGAATTTCCCTGATGGCTATACGAAGTCCTTGAAAAACCAAGGAAACAGGCTTGTTTCAGCCCGAGTGCTTGCTTCAGACCACGGTGATAAATAGTGTAAGGATATCAGCTAACATGGCGTCAGGCATGACCAGACTGATCCAGATTCTCTCGGCCTTTGCTGCCCAGTTGCCTGACCTTTTTTTTTTTTTTTTTAAGCTTTTATTTATTTATTTGTCAGCGCAAGTAGGGGGAGAAGCAGGCTCCCCACTGAGCAAGGAGTCTGATGCTGGACTCGATCCTAGGACTCTGGGATCATGACCTGAGCCGAAGGCAGCGGCTTAACTGACTGAGCCACCCAGGCGCCTCATGCCTGACTGTTCTTAACGTCTTCAGTGACAAGGCCAGACTGAGCAACACAGCTCCCCACGCCTGCAATTTGGATTCAAATTAGTTCCTAGTCTTCAATGGGTCCCAATTGTCCATCTTATATTTTCTTTTCTTCTCTTCTTAAGACACTTTTGGAGGAGGAGCAAATCGGGTCTATAGTGAGATGATTATGAGTTGCTCTATGCTTCTCCCTCTGCGAAATTGTATCTTCCATTTTGCCCCTGTGTTTTGTGTCCACTCCTCTGGAGACAGATGTCTGATTGAAAAGACCAAGGATGACCTCAAGCTGAGATCTCTTCCATAGTTCGATCTCTTCCTTTGTGTGGATAACTCATATCTTTGTTGCATGTGTGTGAGTCTGTGCATATGTTTCAGTAAATATTTTGCTCCATGGGTTCTGAAATGTTTCAGGAGAAATTAAGGAAGAACAAAAGCACCTTTAAAAACATTAGACACCAGCCAGCCTACCTGCAGCAGTTTCTTTTTAATTACTGTGGTATTATCAGTGGATGGTTCTAGATTAACAGGTCTGGTGTCAGAAATTTTGTTACTGTTCTGGGCCTGGGAGTCAGAGGGATTTGTCCCACATTCTGGATTCTCTTCAACTCACTCCTTATTGGGGAGGCAGCTGGTGTTACTGAGAGCTCACCCCGAGAACCCCCATGTGGCTGTCAAATCGGGGATGGGGGAGACCATCAGGTGTCAGGCAAAGGGGCATGTGCTGAGGTAGGATTGGCCCACCATGTGTGGTACAGATCAGTACAAGGCAATGTTTCCAAACAGGCTGACTCACATTTGCCACGAGATGGAAAAAGCATCAATTCACCCTACAGGGGAAAAAAAACCCTCAAAAGGTGGATGGTGGGGGAGTGGGGAGTCTTTCCAGCCACCCTTTGGCACCAGCCCGGTCAGAGGACTCACAGCTTCTGAGGGAGAACCCCCGAGGTTATGCTCTCATTCTGGCAAAGACAGTCATTGGGCCCTCCTCCTCCTCATCTTAAATTTTCTTGAGGAAGGCTTTTTGTGCCGCAGCCTCTATCACTAGAATGTCCTGTTTGTGGGGGGAATGGACACAGGTCAAGGTCTCAGGGCCTCCCCGCGTCTGGAAGCCACTGGGGTTGGCAGAGAGAATCATGAGGGTAGTGGCCCTTTCTAAGCAGCCAGCAAAACAGAACTTGGTGGGCACATGCTTTTCCAAATTGGTACTTACTGGGCACAGTCGGTACTATTCATTTTAGCTCTTTTGCTTCTTTTTTTTCTTTTATTATGTTATGTTAATCACCATACATTACATCATTAGTTTGTGATGTAGTGTTCCATGATTCATTGTTTGTGCATAACACCCAGTGCTCCACGCAGAACGTGCCCTCTTTAATACCCATCACTGGGCTAACCCATCCCCCCACCCCCCTCCCCTCTAGAACCCTCAGTTTGTTTTTCAGAGTCCATCGTCTCTCATGGTTCGTCTCCCCCTCCGACTTACTCCTCTTCATTCTTCCCCTCCTGTTATCTTCTTCTTCTTCTTCTTTTTTTTTTTTAACATATATTGCATTCTTTGTTTCAGAGGTACAGATCTGTGATTCGACAGTCTTGCACACTTCACAGCGCTCACCATAGCACATACCCTCCCCAATGTCTATCACCCAGTCACCCCATCCCTCCCACCCCCCCCACCACTCCAGCAACCCTCAGTTTGTTTCCCGAGATTAAGAATTCCTCATATCAGTGAGATCATATGAAACATGTCTTTCTCTGACTGACTTATTTCACTCAGCATAACACCCTCCAGTTCCATTCACGTCGTTGCAAATGGCAAGATCTCATTCCTTTTGGTGGCTGCATAATATTCCATTGTGTATATATACCACATCTTCTTTATCCATTCATCTGTCGATGGACATCTTGGCTCTTTCCACAGTTTGGCTACTGTGGACATTGCTGCTATAAACATCGGGGTGCATGTACCCCTTTGGATCCCTACATTTGTATCTTTGGGGTAAATACCCAGTAGTGCAGTTGCTGGATTTTGCTTCTAACAGTAAGCATGTGTGGGTTTTCTAGGAACTATATGCCTCTGCCTCCCAGGAGGTCACTGGACCACTGGCTGCAGCTCATCAGTGGGTGAATATGACAGATGTCACCATCCAACTCAACTCCACACACACGGTAAGTATCACTGAATCATGCTGATGATGCCACAAGGGTGAAGCTCTGGGCTGATCTCATGGCTTACTTGAAGTTTAACTTCTGTTTCTTGTTTGTGTTTACCTTGTGTTCTTCTCCCCTTTAGGCAAAGACGTGTAAACCAGCACTGGGCTACAGTTTTGCGGCTGGGACAGTCGACGGATTTGGGAGCCTCAATTTTACGCAGGGTGAGGTTCCGTCTGATGAAATCTGTGGTTCCAGGTTCTGAAGGGTCAAATGGTCTCCGCACATTTATGATTTTTTACTATTATCTTTAGACGCGGGGGTGTGTGTGCTTGCCTTGTGTGTCCATGACAGCCAGAATTCCCAGGGATGTGTGTCTTCTGGAACTTAGCTTCCACTGATTCAAAAAGAATCGGAGACAACTTCCCTTTGCATTTCAGTCTCAGTCTACAGATGGACGGTTTTTAATGGGTCTGGCGTGCTAGGGTGGAGTTGGGAGGAGTACAGAGCGGGATTGTCATTGTACCTTCAACAGTAGGAGTTTGCTCTGTTATCTGCTAATGATTGCCTCTTTCTCTGGTTCCTTTACTGAAGCCCAAAGTCCTCAGGGCAGAGGCCTTCAGGAGCCCAAACATGGGCTGCCAAGTCCTCTTCCACAAATTTAGAAAGGCTTGTAGGCTTCCTCCTGATCATCTCTGTAATAACATGCACTGTAAGTAGAGAAAGTGGAAAATGGACGAGTTTCACCTGTAGGAAACATTTTGGCTTCTTTCATTCCTGCTTTTTATATATGTGTATTTTGGAACCATTCATTGACAAATTAATGAATACAGTTGCAATTTGAGACATTCGGCTCATCTTTCCTGGTAATATTTCATCCAGGGTGGTCTAATTTCCTGGAACAATAATTTTTAACAGCTTTTTTGAGATATAATTCACATACCATATGATGTATCCATTTAAAGTGTATAGTTCAGTGGTTTTTAGTGTTTGCCGATATAGGTAACCATCCCCACGGTCAATTTTAGAGCATTTTCAACATGTCAAAAAGCAACGCTATACTCTTTAGCTATCACAACCCGCATCCCTCATCTCCCCCAGACCTAAGCAACCCCTGATCTTTCTGTCTCTATATTTTCCTATTCTGGACATTTCCTGTAAATGGAATCATCAAATATGTGGCATTTTGGGTTGGTTTCTTTCACTTAGCATCATGTTTTCGAGGTTCATCTGTGTCGTACCATTTATCGGTACTTCATTCCATTCTGTGGCTAAACCCTTTGACCCAGGTACAAATCCCATCTTCCCTGCACCCTAGCCCCTGAAAACAATCATGTTACTCTTATGTCTATGATTTTGGCTTTTATAGATTCCACATAGAAGTGAGAACCTCCAGTATTTGTCTTTCTCCATCTGATAATTTTACTGTTCCTTTCCAATTTCAATGCCTTTTATTTCGTTTCCTTGCCTAATTGCTCTGGCTATGACTTTTTTGAAATTGGGGTTGAGGGGTGCTGACGGGTTAGAAAGGAAGACACACTACCATTCATCAGAAGTCCTACTGAATAGGGATACTGTTTTCTTCTGAGAGAAACTGTTACGTTTTCTACCAGAGAAATGGGCAGAGGCCTCTCTCCCTAGAACATGGCTGGTGAGATGTTACTCTCTGGGAAGGCCCCCCAAGCTCTGCAAACATGCCCAAACAGGCCCAGCCTGCTGCGTTCCTTTGCAGGGAGTAGAATCTTACCAATGTGGTGGAAAGGGCTTGAGACAGGCACACCCTTCACCCCACAAACACCTTATACTAAAAGGGGAAGGGGGAGAAAGCACAAAGAGTTTAAGATATTCGAGTCCAGTTTTTTCAAATATGAAGCATTTTTAACCAATCCATTCTTAAATTTTTAAATTCTTGACATTATAGAACTGGAATTTATTAACACCTACTCTTACATTTCTCATTGACAAACAAATAAAATTCCTGAGCCAAAAACCCAAAGCAAAACTAAAAACAGGGAAAAGCTTGTAAAACTAAATATGGATCCCAACATTAATGGCCGAACAGAGAATGTTGGTTTTTAAATTCTAAGCGGAAGAGAAGTTGTATACGACATTGAATAAGAGTGGTGAGAGTGGGCATTCTTATGTTGCTCCTAATCTGAGTGGGAAACTTTCAACCTCTCACTGTTAAGTGTGGGTTTGTCATATATGACCTTTATTATATGATGTACATTCCTTCAGCACCCAGTATGTCCAGTTTTTAGCATGAAAGGATGTTCAATTTTGTCAAGTGCTTTTTCTGCATCTACAGAGTTGATCAGCTGACTTTTATCTTTCACTCTATTAATAGGTTGTGTCATATTTATTTATTTGCATATTTTGAACTACCCAGAAGTAAATCTCACTTGACCATGGTGTGTGATCCTCTTAATCTGTTGTTAAATTCAGTTTGCTAGTATTTTGTTCGGGATTTTTGCTTCTATATTCCTCAGGGATATCACCCTAAATTTTTCTTTTTTTGTAATGTCCTTATCTGGTTTTGGTTATCAGGGTAATGCTGGCCTTGCAAAACGAGTTGTGGAGTAGTCCCTCCTATTCAATTTTTGGAAGGAGTTTGAGAAGGATTGGCACTAATTTTTCTTTAAATGTTTGGTTGAATTCACTAGTAAAACCATCTGGCCCTGGGCTTTTCTTTGTTCGGAGGCTTTTGATTACTGGTTCAATCTCCTTACTCATTTGCCTGCTCAAATTTTCTATTTTTTCATGACTTAGTGGTTTGTACGGTGGTGGTTTGTATGTTTCTAAGAATTTATACGTTTCTTCTAGGTTTTCCAATTTGGTGGTGTAAAATTGCTCATGGTCATCTCTTATGATCCTTTGTATTTCTGTGGTAGCAGATGTGGTGTCTTGTCTTTCACTTCTGCTTTTCTTTGAGTCTTCTCTCTTTTTTCCTTAGTCTAACTAAAGGTTTGTCAATTTTATTTATCTTTTTAAAAAACGAGCTCTTAGTTTTATTAGTCTTTCCTATTGTTTTTCTGGTCTCTGTTTTATTTATTTCTGCTCTGATCTTTATTATTTCCTTCCTTTTGTTAACTTTGGGTTTTGTTTGTTTTTCTTCTTCTAGTTCCTTGAGGTGTAAAGTTAGGTTATTATCTTTCTTTCTTTCTCTCTTTCCTTTTATAAAAAAGATGTATTTATTTATTTTAGAGAGAGAGAGTGCAAGCATGGGGGAGGACCAGGAGAGGGAGAGAAAGATTCTCAAGCAGACTCCTCACTGAGCCTGGATCCTGATGTGGGGCTCGATCTCATGAGCCTGAGATCACAACTTGAGCCAAAACCAAGAGTTAGACGCTTAACTGACTGCGTCACCCAGGTGCCCCTCTGTTTTTCTTAATGTAAGGGTTTATCATTATAAATTGTCCTCTCAGAACTTCTTTTGCAGGACCCGGACCCATAAGTTTAGGTATGCTGTGTTTCTAATTTTATTTGTTTTGAGATATTTGTTATTTCCATTTTGATTTCTTCTTTGACCCATTAGTTGTTCAGTAGTGTATTGTTTAACCTCCACATATTGGTGAATTTTCTAGTTGTCCTCCTATTATTGATTTCTAGTTTCCTCAGAAAAAATAGCTGGTATGATTTCAGTCTTCTAAATTTGCTGAGGCTTGTTTTGTTACCTAACAAATGACCTCTCCTGGAGAGTGTTGTGTGCACTTGAGAAGAATATGTATTCTGCTGCTGTTGGATGAAATGTTCTGGTCTAAGGTGTGGTTCAAGTCCAACATTTCATTTTTGATTTTCTGTCAGGATGATCTGTCTATTGTTGAAAGTGGGGTAAAAGTTCCCCACTATTATTGTATTGTTCATTTCTCCCTTCATATCTGTTAATCTTTGTTTTATATATTCAGGTGCTCCAATATTGAGTGCATAAATATTTACAATTGTCATCTCATCTTGATGAATTGACCTCTTTATCATTATATAATGACCTTCTTTGTCTCTTGTTACAGTTTTTTATTTAAAGTCTGTTTTGTCAGATGTAAGTATTCTTCTGCTCACTTTTGGTTTCCATTTGTATGGAATATATTTATCCAACCCTTCACTTTTTAAGCCTATGTGTATTCTTAAAGCTGAAGTGAACTCTTATAGGCTGTATATGGTTGGGTCGTTTTTTTCCCCACATTCAATCACTCTATACCTTTTGTATGGAGACTTTAAGCCATTTCCTTTTAAAGTAATTATTTAAAAGTTAGTACTTACTATGCCATCTTATTGTTTTATGGTTGTTTTGTAGTTCCCTTGTTCCTTTCTTCTTCTCTTTCTGTCTTCCTTTATGATTTGATGATTTTCAGTAGTAGTATGCTTTGATTCCTTTATGTTTTGCATATGTACTATAGGTATTTGCTTTTTGGTTACCATGAGGTTTATATAAAACATTCTATCGTTATAACAGTCTATTTTAAGCTGATAATTTAACTTTAATTGCATACAAAAACTACCCTTTTATCTCCTCTTCCCATATCTTATGTTTTAGATGTCGTAATTTGTATCTTTTTATATTCTGTATCCATTAACAGATTATTGTAGCTTTAGTTATTTTTAATACTTTTGTCTTTTAACCTTCACACTTCAGTGATTTATATACTACCATTATCATATTAGACTATTCTTAATTATCTACTTACCTTTACCAGTGAGTTTTATACTTTCATATCTTTTATGTAATATCCTTATATTTTAGTTTGAAGAACTCCCTTTAGCATTTTCTGTTCCATAATTCATGGAGGCTTTCTTCACTGTTTTTTATTTTTATTTTCCTCCTCTGATTGGATAATTTCAAATGACTTGTCTTTGAATTGACAGATTATTTCTTCTGCTTGATCAAATCGACAGTTGGTACACTCTACTGTGTTGTCATTTCATTCACTGTATTCTTCAGCTCCAGAATTTCTATTTTTTTTTAATGATTTTGTCTTTCTGTTGAACTTCTCATTTTGTTCATATATTATTTTCCTGATTTTGTTGTCTAACTGTGTTCTCTTGTAGTTGTTGAGCTTTCTTAAAAAAAATTATTTCCAGGGGCGCCTTGGTAGTTCAGTCAGTTAAGCATCTGCCTTTGGCTCGGGTCATGATCCCAGGGTCCTGGGAACAAGCCCCGTGTCAGGTTCCTTGCTCAGTGGGAGGTCTGCCTCTCCCTCTCCCTCTGCCCCTTACCCCTGCACATGTGCAGACTCTCTCTCTCTCTCTCAAATAAATAAATAAAATCTTTAAAAAATTGTTTTGAATTATTTGTATGCCAAGTCATAGATCTCCATTTCTTTGGGATCCATTGTTGGATATTTATTGTGTTCCATTGGTGGTGTCATGCTTCCTTGATTTTTGTTGTTTCTTAGAGCCTTGAATTTTGTCTGTGTATTTGATAGAGCAGTCACCTCTTTTAGACTTTGTAGACTGGTTGTCGTTGGGGGAGACCTTTACCCATGGGTGAGTGCAGGGACATTGGGTGGGTGAGCTGTGGCAGTTCCAGATCCAGGGCAGGCCAAGTGGCGTAGTCTCCATGTAGCTCTGTCAGCTTAGGTCAGCACTGGTGAAGACTGCATGGGTCCTCAAATGCCAAGGCTGTGGGTGTCTGCAGCTGCCATCGGTGCTCTTGGCATCTCCAGGCTGCTGCTGCTGAAATCCTCCTGATCTCTTTCCCCACTGGGGGATGTCATGACCCAGAGCTCTCTCTTGGGGCTAGGTTTGGCTTATGGGGGCCCTCACAGTAGTGGTAGTACTGATGGCTGATGCACGAATGCTCATGGGTCAGTGACAGGTCTGAGATCTGGAGCAGAGGTGCTCATGGAGCAGGGGCAGCTCCAGGGCCCAGGGCACTGGCTCTCCAGTTGTAGTAGTGACTCTGTGCCTGAGTTGTACGTACATGTGGAGCAGCCATGGAGCTGGGGATTAGAGCACATGAGCTTGCTGAGGACAGTAGCTCTGGGGTCCAGGATAGCCAGCAGTGGTGGTGGCTCTAGTGCCTAAGATTTGAGTACATGCTGAGCAGCTGCAGATCCAGGGTCTGGAGCATAGGCACACGTGGTGCTGCCATGACGTTGGGTTCTGAAACATGGGTGTGGATGGAGCAGATGGAGCTCTGGGTCAGGGGCACACTTGGGGGTGGAGGCTGACAAGCCTGGCCCCAGGGTGATGCAGTAGCATCTTCCTAAGGATGAGAAGCAGCAACATCTCATCTCCTGGGGGGGCAGTCCATGGTGGTGGTGGCCATTGGTGACCTCAGTCATGAAAGTTGCTGGTGTCTGTGAAGCAGGCTGCTGGGGTCTGTGCCAGTGAAGACTACAGGGTCTTCTGCTGTGAAAACCACAGGAGGTCTGTCATGGGGGCTGTTGAGCGGCAGGGGCCCCTGGGGTCCTCCATGGAGCAGACCACCGGGCACGGTGATGGCACCTGCCATATGGCTGATACCAAGAGTCTCTGCACTTTTTTTTGTTCCTCTCTGTTTCAGCTAAGTTAATCCTTCCAGTGATCCTTCCTGTGTGATTATTCCGTATTTCGCTCCATAGGTTCTTTTTTTTTAAATTTTTATTTATTTATTTGACAGAGAGAGACACAGCGAGAGAGGGAACACAAGCTGGGGGGGTGGGAGAGGGAGAAGCAGGCCTCCCGCTGAGCAGAGAGCCCAGTGTGGGGCTCAATCCCAGGACCCTGGGATCATGACCTGAGCGGAAGGCAGACGCTTAACGACTGAGCCACCCAGGTGCCCCGCTCCATAGGTTCTTGATTGGACTCTTGAGCCCTCCTGGGAGTATTTTCATTTGCTAGTAACTAATTGTGGTTTTCAGTGGGGTGACAAAAGCTGATATTTTCTACTTTCTCCTCTTGCTATGTCACCTTTTTTTTCTTAATATGGTCATTAAAGCTATAAATTTCTCTCTAAGCGCTTCTTTCACTGCATCCCATAAGTTTTGGTATACAGTGTCTTCATTTGCATTTATCTGAAAGCATTTTCATATTTCCCTTTAATTTCTTCCTTGACCACTATCTATTTATGATCGTGTTGCTTAATTTCCACATATTTGTGAGTTTCCCACATTTTCTTCTGTTATTTATTCCTAATTGCATTACTTTGTGGCCGGAAAACATATTTTGCATGATTTATACCCTTTAACGTTTATTGGGGTTTATTTCGTGGCCAGCAGAGGAGTGTCTGCTATGTTCTTGTTGCATGGAGGGAGGTGTGTGCAGGTACCTGTTACATCCACTTGGCTTCTCGTGTTGCTCACGTTTTCTGTTGTTGATCTTCTGACTAGTTGTCCCATCTGTTAGTGCAAGTGGGTTATTCATGCTCCAACTGTTATTGTTGAGTATCTCTTTCTCCTCCATTTCTGTCACTTTTGGCTCATGTATTTTGGTGCTCTGTTGTTAGGTCCATATATGTTTATAATTGTTATATTTCCCTAATGGATTATAGATTCTAAGTTCATAGGTTTCAGAGTTAACATAACTTTTCCCCAGATTGTGGTATTTAAGTGTGATTTTGTGTAGATAATTAAGTGGGGAGTTGAGAGGCTTTTTCTGTGGACCCCAAGCCAAATAATCAGTACTTTAAGTTGGAGTTCTCATTTTTAGTTTTTAAAATGGGAAAAAAAGTGATTTCATTCATAAATCTATAGTTAATTATATTGTATTATTTTTATTTGCAACGTGGCTGAGGAAGGGTAATAGAAACAAAACTTTAAGGATGTTGAACAAGATATACTCTTTTAGTCTATCAGCCACAATGGGGATCTAATTGAATAATGATTCCTATTTTAGGATGCAAAGGAAATTTTACCTCTTCTATTATTCAAACTGTTTGGAATTATTGGGCAACAACCTTAATAAAATCTTTGCAATAAAGGCATTGTTGTATATTTGTCAAAATGATGGCATTTTTCAGAGGGTTGGAATCAAATTAATCCTTACGTTACTAAACAGGGACAACAGTAGGGGATCCATTTTGGGACACTCTTCGGGATCAAATCCTGGGCAAGCCATCTGAAGAAATCAAACAGTGTCATAAACCAAAGCCAATCCTTCTTCATACTGGAGAGGTAATGCATTTTGACTATCATGGTAAAATTAGTGTATCATTATTTTAAAACTTATGAATTGTCAGAGACAAATGATAGATCTTTGTTGACATGGGAACTTCTTATTCAGATATTTCCACATCAAATTTTTAATATTAAAAATATGTATGTTAAGAATCTAACTCTAAGGAATAAGGGATATGATTATTAAATATTGTGACTTAGAATTTATGATAAATAACTGCAACAATGAAAACAGTGGAAAAGGAGGAATTCAATCAAGATCTATCTTATTCAGGATTCATTTATGTTGACTCCAGGAGTTCACATACAATTCTCTGAACAAAAAAACATCCTCAGGTCATATAAAAAGGACATGTTCACATCTCAATTTTCTCATGACTCAGACAACACGATTAACTAAAGCAATATTCTTTTAATACTCCTTTGGACCATGGATTTTCACATTCTAAATGTCAAAAGTTTGCGCCAGTGTTCATAATATAAATTATTGATGTAGAAAACATTTTTGAATAAAGTTTTTCCCCCTAATATTCAATTAAAATTCTTCAGGAAGAAGAAAGAGAGGAAAGGAAGGAATAGAGAGAATCTGACTATGGGAAAGGATAGATTGTCTTGGAGAAAACTTGGAAAGTAAGGCAAGACTTGGTAACTGCAAATTTAAAGTGCTTTGTGTGTAAAAAGAGAAATCATTAAGTTAAGCTGTTCCAAATGTAGAATTACTTATCCATCTTACTAAGTGCTCCAAGAGAACCCTTGGTTACCTGTTACACATTGTGATTCTAGGATGCCCGGTCCACCAAAAATTTCACTGATGAGAAAGGAAGTGCAGGTTAATGGGGCATTGGCATCTGAGATCCTTATGCTATGACCAGATAGAATATTTTATACTACCTCATTCATTAGAAAGAAAATCTGTGATAGTAGGATAAAGCACCAAACCCAGCTGGAAACATTGTAAATCCTTTAATAAAGGAAATTTTGTGAGCATAATCTGTCTCTTGGCCATAGAAAGAACAATATCCCTAACACAGGTTTCATGTTTTGGGTTCTTAGTTGACAAAACCTCATCCCTGGCACCCAGATATTGTTGATGTTCAGATTATCACGATTGGGTCCTTGGCCATAACTGCCATCCCTGGGGAGCTGACGTAAGTTCTTCTTTGTAGTTAAAAATGTAGTCATTGTGTATGTGTTTCTGTTGGAATCACTTCTTCTCATGGGTGATGATTCTGAACCGCCGCCTTTGTATCTCACTCTGCCATTCTGGCAACACTGACAAATATTCCAACCCTCTTTTGGTGGACTTCTGAAGAGTAAATCTTTTGATGTGTATTGCTAGTGGGTAAATTGTAGCAAACATAAACATTCGAAAAACTTATTCCAAATGGAAATGATGTTGTGCATTATTATGTCAGTAGAAAGAGTTGAAATAGTATCAAAATACAGATCCTTGAAACAGTTGAAGTATTAGAAGCAGGAAAGATTGTTTGAAATCTGCTCCTTATGCAGTCTTCCCTATCTTACTAAGTAGCAATTTTGTATCTTTCCAGTTGTTCAGGCCCTAAACCTTGGAGTCCTCCCTGAATTCTCTCTTTTCGATTTCCCCCACTTTTCAGTCTTGCAGCAAATTCTGCACATTCTGCCCAGCACTTTCTATCGCTCCCTCCCTGGTCTAAGCCACCGTGAGCTCTCCCCTAGATTACTGCCATAACCTCCTGTCTCACCTGCTTGCTTTCTCCCTTACTCCTCTGTAGCCTTTTCTCAACACTGCAGCCAGAGGAATCCCATTAAAAGCTAAGTTAAATCAAGTCAGGGTCCAAATCCCTCCAATGGCTTCCCATCTCACTCCAGGTAAATTCTTAAACCCTTAACAGCACCTTACAAGGGCCCTGTGAGATTTTTCCCTCGGCAATCTCTCTGATCTGATTTGATACACCTCTCCCCCTGATTCACCCCTGCTTCAGCCAGTTGGCTTCATTGCATTTCTCAGACCTGCAAGCCTGCTCCTGTCTTAAAGCTTATGAACTTAAGGTTCCTTCTGCCTAAAACACTTACCCTCCTTTTATGCCCACAGCCGACTCTTTTATTCCTTCAGTTCTCTGCTCCAATCTCTCACAGAGATGCCCCATTGTGCTGACGCTATATGACGCTGCCCTCACCACCACCACCATCACCACCGCCGCCGCTGCCATATTCCCACAGCATCAGCAGCGGCCTCATCATCACAAGAACAACCACCATCACCTGTCATCCTTACCCTGCGTTATATTCCCCATAGCACCTACTGTCATCTCACTTCTTTTATTTGCTTGTTGACATCTTCCCTCTCTGGAATGTAAGCTTCCTCCTGTTGAATCCTAGCATTTAGAAGTGGGCCTCTTCTGTAGTAGGTGCTGTATTTTATTGAAGGATTCGATGAAGGAACAAAATGATAAATTCTTCCTAGGTAGGAGCAGTGCACTCTCTACTTGCCTCAGTTCTTACTGACATAGAACACGAACAGTATATTTCTGCTGAATCATTTTCCAATGAATGGAAAATGATTGTAGTCTTAGCCAGTGATATTCACTGATGCCTTTTCCCCTCCTACAAGTTGTCTGTTTTCAGTTTAGGATTATTTTCAAGATAGGACAGGGAGAAAAAGCTCAAGTTTGGCTTTGCATTGCCACAAAGCTCCTATGAACCTTACCATGTTGTGTTATGAGCCAGGATCACATTTGTCTCTCGCTACAAGTTCTTCTGTATTCTTTGCATATATTCTGAGTAGGAAAACCCTTAGATACTTTCGTTTTCTTGACTCAGGACCATGTCTGGACGAAGACTTCGAGAGGCAGTTCAAACAGTAAGTTAAAAATGAAATAAAATGTTTATGCATTTATATTTGGTGAAGAGAAAAGAATTCCCTATTCCTATGATCTGGTACCTTTTAAATTATTCTTTGCTGAGATGACTAGAGTTTTATAGTTCTTGAAAGTAATGTCTAGAGCTGAATATGAAATATTAGTGGGATAAGAACAAGCTTAAAAATTATAAGGAATCAGGTTGAAATAATGTATTGCTATTTATATATTAATAATTTAATAATTAATAAATGTTTAATAATTTAACAATAATAAAATAATATATTAATAATAATTTAAAAATTGATAGTTTTTATGGATTAAATAACAAATAACCCTAAGTACCTTAATGAAGTCCTGTCTAAATAAAATCTAACACATGTTAGGAGTTTTGTATTTTATCTGTATTTATTTATATTCAGGAAGCATTGCAAATGGTTCTAGAATGACATGATCAACAGAGGCCTTATTACTTGGAGTTGGAAATAACCACTATGGTTAGTTAGAATCCTCCCATTATACTTTTTAGGAAATGGATAAAATATCTGTATTTTAGTTATAAGAAGATTCTATATCTGCAAATGTAATCACTAAGATGTTCACAGATCCGTTGACTTGCCCAACTGTAGTGTAGTTATGGCTCTAACTTTTCCTCAAGGACTTTGAGCGTCATACTTCTGCATTCCCAGGCAGTTTTGATCGTTACGAATGATGTTAGGAGAGACACCCTCTACTATTGACTCAGATCTATGATTGTAAAGTATAACTGGGTCAATATTATACATTATGATGGAGAGTAATTTTATTGGGCTCTACCTTTCCCCCACTAGGAATTTGCAACCAGTGGGATGCAGAATATGACCGTTGTTATTTCGGGTCTGTGCAATGTGTATACACATTACATTACCACCTTTGAAGAGTACCAGGTAAAGTAAAAAGTTCTCAGCCTCTAAACGAACTATCCCCTCATCAGGACTGTTGTGTCAAATGCAGGTTTTCTTTCTAGACTTCCTTACGGGTGGTTTTGAGAGATGATTTTGTTTTGGGACAGAGGAGAGAATGAGCCAGAGGTTGTATTTGGGAGTTCTAGGTTTGCCCTTTCCAAGTTCAAGTCAGAATTCTGGTCTCACTGATGACTGCTTTTTCTGAAATAAATTATTTTGTCAAGGATACTGGTCATAAGCCTGGGCAGGGGCATACAATCTTCCTAACTCTGTCCATGGTGCTTCTGGCACCTGAAGCTTCTGTAGACCCTGGGGAAAACTCCCACTGACAGTTACTATTTATTTATTTATTGAAGATTTTTAAAAAATTATTTATTCATGAGAGAGAGAGATGCAGAGGGAGAAGCAGACTCCCTGAAGAGCAGGGAGCCCGATGCGGGACTTGATCCGAGCACCCCGGGATCATGACCTGAGCTGAAGGCAGATGCTTGACCAACTGAGCCACCCAGGCGCCAAATAGCTACTATTTATTGAATGTACTAGCTCAGCACTTTGCAAATGTTATCTTCAGTCATCTTCATAACAAGCCCTGGAGTAGGGTTTTTATTATATCCGTGACATAAATTAAGAAACAAAGTCTCCGAGAATTTAGGGGAGATAATGTTTCTTTGTTTGCAAATAGTGCAGACAGTAGCTCCAGTACTTTTTAACAGTAGTGGTTAAAAACACGGGAACAGTCTGGATACCCACAGTTATGCTGATATATCTGCTGGCATATCTTGGCAGTCCACAGAGAGCCATACAATCTACTTTTTGACGAATGTCCAGCGATGCCAACAGTGGGATCTGCCCTGCTGTCATTTGTTGACTTTCCTGGAAGTCCCTGTCTTCTAGGAAATTCTGTCGAATAATGATTCTTAATTGGGGCAAACTTGGTTGGGAATACTTTTCATTTATCCATTTTTTCATTTCTCTGTAACTGTTTTGTAGAATTTCCTTCAATTAGGAATGTAGGTAACAAACAACAATAATATTAGCAGTACCTCTGACTTTGTCACCAATAGGAACCACAGATACTTTTTATATCACGAAGAGTTATTGCAGATTTAGAATGAAGGGGGGCAAGCCAGAGGGGGAGACGAACCATGAGAGACTATGGACTCTGAGAAACAAACTGAGGGTTCTGGAGGGGGGTGGGGGGACAGGTTAGCCTGGTGATGAGTATTAAGGAGGGCACATTCTGCATGGAGCACAGGGTGTTATACACAAACAATGAATCATGGAACACTACATCAAAAACTAATGATGTAATGTATGGTGACTAATATAACATAATAAAAAAGAAGAGTTATTGCAGATTTGGAAATAACTTCACTCTCATCAGTCTTTTAAAATCACAATAGTTATTAGATCTGCTTACTTGTTATTCAGTAAAGAACACAAACATTACTCATTGTTCAATAAAAAAAAAACATTATCCTATCACAAAAATGGTTTATTTTTGTTTGATTAAATATATTTCAGTCTAATTGGTTTTCTTTGTCAACAATGTATTTATACGTTTAGAGCCACCCAGGCGCCCCTGTATTTATACGTTTAGAAACATTTACTCTGAGAGGGGTCCATAGACCTCAGCAGACTGCCGTAGGAGTCCAGGGCACAGATAAGGTTAGGAACCCCTACAGCTTCTCTCAGGGATGTGCTCCTGCAAGGATTAATACTAATTAATTTATTCACTAATTCATTCAACAGACATGTGATGAGACAGATACTGTACTAGCCACTATCTGGGCATAACAAGTAAAAATCTGCCCCTACCCTCAAGACTACTAGGGTTTATGATCTAGTGAAAGGCAGAGAAGAGCAGGTAATCACATTGCTGTAAAATAGATTCATAAAGTAATAGGAAAACAAAGAGAAAGTACACTAGTCTTTATTGGGTATTTGAGAATGGAGACTGGCAGATTTTCTGAAAGATGTAACCTCTGTCTGAGTTCTTGAGAATGACTAGGGCTAATTAGGGAAAGAAAAGTTAGGGAAGTATCCCATATTGAGGAAGCCATCCATGCAAAGGTCTGGGGGTGCTGAGTTAGTACATTTGAAGGGCCATAATTAGTTGAGGGTAGTGAGACAGGGACTAGTTGATAAGGTTTTAGTTGATGGAGCATCTTTTATGCTATGCCACAGAGCTTTACCTCAATAAGGAAGGTTTTGGAAAATGGCAGTAGAATTCCAAAGAAGGAGTGTTCAGATCAAATTTTGATTTGGGAAGGTCTCTAGGATGACAGTGTAGAAAAATAAATTGGAAGAGCAGGTGTGGGGGCAGAGAACTGATTAGGAAGTTGTAGTTATGATCTGGGTGAGAGCCAAAGGTTTAGCTATAGTAAGATCAGGAGAAACAGAGGAAAATGAAAGAATTCAAGAGATTCCAAGTAATGGTAGCTTGGAGACTTCCAGGATGTAGGATGAGGGAGAGGGAGGAGTCTAAGATGGCGGAAGGCTGGCATTCCCTGGGATGAAGAACTTTGCAGGGAGAACGTGTCTCTTTGGAGTGATGAGTTCCATTTTAGATTTGATGAGTCTGAGATTCTTGTGGAACAACAGGAAGCTTGCAGTTCAGCTAAAGGAGATGTATCTCATTCAGTTTTATAGCTGTGTGGTGGTTAAGTGTCCATCACCAGACAGTACCATCACCACCACCCCCAAATTTCCCCAGGAGTTACTGAGACTCTCATTTTCCCTCATTTTTTTCTTCACCTGCTATGTTTCTTGGGGGCCAACATTTCTATCACAAGTACTTAAGATAGACTTAAGCTTAAGAGCTATTCCCCTCTCTCAAATTAGATGGACTGACAGTCCAAATCGCATAAACCAAGAGAACCCACTACCTTTAGCAAGGAATTAATGGGATCCATTTACTTTAGCTGGTAAATGAAAATATCCACTGTCCTTTGTTATGATTAATTTTGAATTATGTGAGGTGTTCAACATCACACCCCTCCCCTAAGATGTGGCACCTCTCTACATGGATGGAGATCTATAGAATGGTATAAAACCCAGCCCTGTCCCTCCTGCAGGCTCAGCGGTACGAGGCGGCATCTACAATTTATGGACCACACACTCTGTCTGCTTACATCCAGCTCTTCAGAGGTCTTGCGAAGGCCATTGCTACGGTAATCAAAACTCATAGGCATGTGTGTCTCAGGGGTGGGGAGATGCAGAGAGAAGCAAAAGAAAACGTTAGCTTCAAATGTCCAGTTTCTTTCAAAACCTTTATATTTGAAAAGTTTGTAGCTATGAAGTATCTCTAAGAAATAAAACCGTTAGTAAATTCAGATGCAGTTAACATCTTTTGGTGGTGACAGGTTAGTTCACATATATGATCTCATATTAGCCTCATGATCATCATGTGAAAGTATGGAGGTATCATTTTTTCCCCATTTTTCAGATGAAAAAAGTGGTTCAGAGAAGTAAGTCATCAGGCTTACTCTAAGTCTCTCCAATCACTTCATGAGTTGAGCGGGTCATTCCTTCTGAGATGCCCATTTCCCATATTGTAGCGTCTCTGAAACGGGGATACATCTTCCAATCAGAGGAATTTTATGGTTATAATTAGTAGCATGTTTTTACTTTCTTGGTGGCTCAAAAATAATAGCAGTTGCTATAATCACTAGAGGCTTAGATGTGATTAAGTACAACTTTGGAACACGTACATATTGCATCAATCTAGAATATGTGCACCTCAACAAGTTGACTTAGAAGAACTCCACTTGTGGCCTCTTTCTTTGGGGGTGCAGATATTAATGAAGCTGACTCTGGCCTCAGCAGATGAGCCAATAAGCAGGATAAAAGACTTAAAATCATCAGCAGATCTCTATATAATACCATATAAGCCCCAATAAAGGCTGGGACATAATTACCGCTTAGCACAGACAACAAAGCCCTTTCAGAAAAAGAGCTTGGTTATATCGAGTGGAAGCAAACGATACAGCTGCTTCTGTGGGTCAAAACAGTTGAATATTGGCAATTCCATATGCCTCCACCTAATTGCTGACCGTATGAAGTTTCACTACAGGGTATCTACTGAAGATATATTTTAATTGCTCGATGATTGTTTTTATCATTGCATTCCTCTCACTTTTAGGTCTGATCCTTTTTTCTTTTCCCGAAGTAGAACTGCTTTAATTTTCATCATAAAAGCTGTAACTAGTTATAGAACATTCAGATTATACAGAAAATTATAAACCTATAGCCCATCCCAAGAGATGGCCATTATTTTCACTTACATTATGAATGTACATCTACAGTTCCTCCCAGGCAAATAGTCTTCAAGTTTTATAGTGATACGTAGGGGGAAAGTGTGATTCATTTTGTAGAAATTTTTGTCACAGCCAGTGTTATGGTTCTGTAGCTAAAATTAGCTATGCGATCTCGGAAAAAAACACTGAGTATCTCCCAGCTTATGTTCCCATTTGTGAAAGGGAAACGCCAGCAAATAGGTGTTATGGCCTTTGAAAAAGATTAAATTACTAAAGTGAGGATCAGTATCCATTATGAAGGACCACTTAAAATTTGAAATTAGCCCTGTGATGACGCCAATAAAGGTGACAAATATTGTGGAAAACATAGTTTAAACCAGTCAGGGCATACGCTGATCTTAACTTCTAAGTTAAAAGTATATTACATTTTTGTGCTCGCTTCGGCAGCCCATAGACTAAAAAAAGTATATTATATTTTTTAATTAGCACAGAGAAGGATCTAGGGGGGAAAAAGCTTGGTATTGACTCTGGGGAAGAGAGGCTCAACACTTTTTAAAAATTAAAAGGGTAATCACACTGTCATGGTACAAAGGCTTACCATGTGTTAGGCTCCTATCCAAAGTCACACAATTGAAAAAGAGCTGTTCCAGAATCTAAAGTTGTATCATGTCTACACTTTGATCCCTGGACTGCATGGTCCGGGGAAGCAAAAATGTTGTCTATGACCCAAACTTTCCTCCAGTGACAAAAGTTTAAATTGTGGACGTCTAGACTCATATTTTAGCAAAGTTGCCCCACATTTTGTTAAAACTCTTAGCTCTTGGAGAGAGGCTGTGTGTGTGTGTGTGTGTGTGTGTGCGTGTGTGCGCGCGCGCGTTTCCTTTAATGAAGGCATTTCTGGGAGGTGGGGGCCTGGGGAAAGGGGCTTTGACTCTACATTGTGTGGTCCTTAAGCAAATGCTCTCTGTTCTAGGATACAGTAGCCAACCTGAGCAGAGGTCCAGAGCCTCCATTTTTCAAACAACTGATAGCCTCATTAATTCCTAATGTCGTGGATAAAGCACCAATAGGCAAAACTTTTGGGGATGTTCTGCAGCCTGCAAAACCTACATACAGATTGGTAAGGCTCCCAAAGAGATCTTGGAATCCTCCAGAAGCCTGTGTCTGTCTAATGTCAACACCTGCCTCTAATCATGCTATACACCAGCTGTGAGCAGTGATGATTTTGACAATTGTTCTGAACTCTGCAAACGTGGGAATGGGGAAATATGTATTTTTTCAGGTGGTAATGATGTAAAATCAAATTTCTAAAATCCAAATTCTTCTTTTCTTCTTAAATGGATGGTCATGGAATCATTTGCTAGAGCTCAGAAAAGTCTTTTAAATCAAGGACGGGAAAAGCACGTAGCAATGAAGCAGGACTTGGACTACTACTATTTTATATTGATCTTGTGTCCTGCACCTTTGCCAAATCATTTATTAGTCCCAGTAGATTCTTGGGCGAGGGATGTGGATTCCTTAGAAATTTCTACATACAGTATCATATCATCTGTGAATAAAAGCAAGCTTACTTATTCCTTTTTGGATTTCTTTTCTGGAGGCCTTTAATTTTTTTCCCTTACTGCACTGGCTGGAATCTCCAATACAATGTTGAAGACACGTTGTAAGAGTGGGTGGGCATCCTTCTCTTGTTTCTAATCAGGAGGAAGAGTATTCTGTCGTTAAGTATGATGTTTCCTTGAGGATTTTTGTAGATGACTTTAATCAAATTGAGAAAGTTCCTTTGTGTGCCAGGTTTTTTGTTTTTTTTTAAATGAAGAATGGGTGTTGGATTTGTTTCAAATGCTTTCGTGTCTACTGAGGTGATCGTGTAGGATTTTGTCTTTTATTCTATTAAGATAGTGTATTGCATTAGTTGATTTTCAGATATTAAATAAATACCCTTTCTTAATGGTACAGAATCTTTTTTATATGTTGTTGAATTTGGTTTGTTAATATTTTGCTGAAGTTTTATACTCATGTCCATGAGGGATATTTGCAGTCTTCTTTTCACATGTCAGGGTAACACTTGTCTCAAAGAATGAGTTAGCAAGTGTTTCCTCCTGTATTTTCTGGAAATGCATGGAAAATACTGGCATTATTTCTTCTTTAAATATTCAGTCAGATTTATCAGCAAAGCCACATGGACCTTCGCTTCTCCCTATGGCAAAATTTTTATTTACCACTCCAATTTCTTATTATAAGCCTATTCAGATTTTCTTTTTTTTTTCTTGAGTTGATTATGTATCTCTCTTGGCATTTAGTTTGTCTTGAGGAATGTATCTTTCTAAAAATTGCGTCCTGTTTCATGTAAGTTGCCTATTTTGTTTGGCTAAAGTTCATAATATGTTCTTACAATCCTTTTAATTTCTGTAGGGTCAACAATGATGGCCCTTTTTTCTTCCTGATTTTGATAATTTGTGTCTTCAGAGAGCTAGCTTTTAGCTTCCTTGATTTTATCTATTGTTTTTCTATTTCTATTTTGATTTTTGCTCTGGTGTTTTATATTCTTCCTTCTGACTGCTTAGATTTTATTTTGCTCTTCTCATTTCTTAAGGTAGAAGCTTAGGTTCTTTTTACGTATTAGTGTAACTTTTTATTTCTCTGTTGTTTTTTTTTTTTGTTTTTTTTTTACTATATATATTGTTGATTATTTTCCTAGTAGTTGTTTTAGGGACTTGAAAAGGAAAAAGAATTCTGATTCTCCTCTCCACACTTTCAGTACTTCTGACAGGAGCTGTGTGGATGTTTTCCCCACACCAAGCAATTCTCCAGTTCTCTGCAGACATCAACTTGGTGTCCTATAATCCAGTTCAATTCTGACAGTATCTCCTTGGGGTTGGCATTTACTTCACAGGTTAAGGGCTCAGTCCCACAAGATTGTACCCCTCCACTCCCACCCCCTCACATGCTTCAGATACCAATGGTGAATCTAAGATGTTACCTCAGCTTCTGACTGATTGGCTACAAATTGGAGATTCCCATGAGCCCCTCCTCGGGTTAAATAACTTGCTGGAACAGGCTCACAGAACTCAGGAAGCCAGTTTACTTACTAGGTTATCAATTTATTATACACTGATTACAACTCAGGAACAGACCGATCGTGGTATGGGGGAAGGAGAGCCAAGCTTCCATGACCTCTCCAGGAAGGCCAGCCTCCCAACATCTCCATGCATTCACCCATCTAGAAGTTCTCTGAACCCCAGACTTTAGGGACTTTTATTCAGGCTTCATGATAGAGGCACAATTGATTAAATCATTGGTCTTTGATGATTAACTCAACCCTCAGTCTCTTTCCCCTCCCTGGAGATCAGGGGGTTGGACTTGATAATTCCAACCCTCTAATCACAAGACTAAGTCCCCTGACAAGTAACCCTCACCCCGATGTTACCCAGAAACTCTCAGCCACCGGTCATCTCATTAACATACAAAAAGACACACCACTCCTGGGATTCCAAGGGTTTTAGGAGCTGTGTACCACGAAATGGGGACAGAGACTACATATATATATATATATATATATATATATATATATATGTCTTATTATGTCATAGGGCTATAATATGCATCTCAACTAATCGCACCCTACTTCAATATAATACTAATAATTCCAAAAAATATAAGAAGATTGCTATAATATATCTATTTTTCTTTTCCCATCCTTTGTGATATTGTTGTCACATATATCACATCTATATATAAATGCAATAATACAGTGTTATAGCTAATTGTCTTACACAATCTCACACCTTCTAAGGAGATTAAGAGAAGATATGGAAAAGTATATTCATAGCATATTTTAAACCAAGCCTACATATTTACCATTCCGGTGCTCTTTATTGTTTCTTAGGAATCTGAACTATTATTACCACCTAGCCTCATTTCCTTTCAGCATGAAGAACTTCCTTAGTATTTTTGGTAGGACAGCTCTGCTAACAACAAATCCCCTCAGGCTTTATTTAGCACAATGGCTTTATTTTCCCTTTATCTTTGAAGAATAGTTTTGCTACATTCTTGGTTGAGAAATGGTTTTCTTTTATCACTTTGAGTGTGTTATCCTGTCAACACTTGTTTCTTCACTCTCTAATGAGAAGTCAATTGCTCATCTATTGGAGTTTCCCTGTAAGTAATGCATCATTTTTCTCCTACTGCTTTCAAGATTTTTTCTATTTGTCTCCGTCTGCCACAAGTTTGCTACAGTGTATCTAAATGCGAAATGCTCTGGGATTATCCTCCTTGGGATTTGTTGAGTTCCTTGGGTGGGCAAGGTAATGTTTATCAAGTTTGGGAAGTTTTCATCCTTTATTTCTGCCAAAAGATTTCTCATTTGTTTGTTTCTCTCTTTCCTCGAATTCTAGGACTTCTGGTTTGTGAATGATGTTGTGTACTTGATGTCCCGCTTGTTTCTGAGGTTCTAGCAATTTTTCTTCAGTTTTTTCCTGTCCATTCTTCATTATCAAATAATTTATATTGATAAATTCTACTTCACTTATCTTTTCTTCTATCATCTCATATTTGCTATTAAGCTCTTCTAGTGAATTTCTTATGTCAGTTGTGATTTTCGGCTCTAGAACATCCAATCCATTTTTAATAATTACTTCTCTTCACTGAGGTTCTCTATATGTTAAGTCACTATCATCAGACTTCTCTTTAATTCTTTAAACGTGACTGTATTCGTTCTTAGAACATCTTTACAACCACTGCTTTGAAGTCCTTGTTTATTAACTACAACATCCGGGGACACAGAACGGCAGTTTTGTTTTGTTTTGTTTTTTAAATTTCTTAAAAATTTTTTAATGTTTATTTTTGTTTTTTTAATCTTATTTTATTTTATTATGTTATGTTAGTCACCATACAGCACATCATTAGTTTTTGATGTAGTGTTCCGTGATTCATTCAGAATGGCAGTTTTGATTGGGCTTCTTTCCCTTAGTATGAGTGATATTTTCATGTATGCACATCCCATAATTTTTTTATTGAATACTGGATGTGTTTTGATTCATTGTGGTAATTCTGGATTCTAGCCTCACCTCCCCACCCCAAAGTTGTTTTCGTTTGTTTGTTGGCTCACTGAAAACTAGACTGGACCAAATCAGTACAGTCTGTCTCTCTTGCAATGTGTGGCTATTGGGTCTGCTCCATTTTTTTGTCCTTGATTTTAAGTCTGGCTCTCAAGGTGTTGCCCCTGTGGTTATATAACTTAATGTCCAGCCAAGTATTGATCAGAGTGTGTGCTTAGATGCTTCAGGGAGTAAGAATTTCAGTCTCTGCTGATACGTTCTTTTCCTGGCTTCAGGTGGTTCTCTTCCCTGCATGCAGAGTTGAGGTGAACCTTCTACAGATCTCCAGAGTTCTCTCTCTCTACGTAGCTCTCTCTCTGGTACGCTCTTCTCTCTGTTACTCTACCTTGTGAACGTAAGGCTATTTGACCTTCACGGACTCCCACATCTATTCCTTAACGTAGATCAAGTGCCTGGCTTTGCTTGACCTCTGCCTTCTTGTGCTGTGAACTGCACACTCTGAGGGCATTAGGCTGGGGCAGTTGAGGGGCTCATTTTGTCTGTTTTTTGTCACTCTAGGCTCACTGTTTTCATTGCTCGGCTGTCTGTAAAACCATGGTTTAATACATATTTGTCCAGCTTTGTTAGTTGTTTCAGGTGGGAAGGTAGGTACACGCCCTGTCATTCCACTTTGTATCTCACACGAGCAAGTGTCCGTGTACGTGTAAGTCATTCACGGAAAGTTTTGACTGCTTTGATTTGAGTCAGTCCATTTCCTGTATGTGTGTTGGAGGGGAGCGTGAGACAATATCAGAGGCTGAAGAAACCATTTTAATGCATTGTATTCATCTCTATCTGAGTGTACTAAAAGCAAATTCATTGGCGAAAAATTCTCGAGTAATTTCTCCACCAAAAATTCCTGTGTCCGTTTCTGCAAGAGTATGTTCTCTGATAGTCTCAGAAGATGAGTCACTTGATTAAATAGGATAGAATCTGCACAGGTGCCCAGAATCCTAGAACATTTCATAAATCATGGCCCAAATATGAGCACAGCAAAGAACAAACTCATAAAATGAGTTTTTATCTTCAGGGAGAAGTTGCTGAAGTTACATTCGTAGGCGCTAACCCAAAAAATTCAGCAGAAAACCAGGTAAGCATCAATGATTCTTTTGACAGATTTAAATCCACTTTTTAGTCTTCATTTGAATAGCCTTATAGAGGTTAATGATATAATGATAAAATGTTCCAACTTGCTTTTCATCTTATTTTTTAGGTGTGAGGAAATTTTCAGTAGGAAGAGTAATGTGGAATTCAGTCTGGGGGAAAAAAAGCACAGGAAACATTTAACCGGGTCTGCTTAGGATCACATACTGCACAAAGCATAGAGAGCTACATGTCCCTTGAGAAGATACAAATTTGAATACAATCCCATTTATGTATTCCAATTTAGAAACTCTACTAAACTGGGTAAAATAACCAAAGGGCCAAGAATGAAGTATATCTTTGGTTCCTTCCTACCCCCATTCTGGCTCCTCTCTTACTCCAGCACTGTAGCCTCTGGTCCTACCTCCAGAGTGATCATGGGGCCCTGGGGGGATGCTCCACTGGCTTGGGGCCCTGGCCCAGGTGCTTTATTTTATCTTGCCTTTGCCATTTCCTGACTCTTTACTGCTGACACTAATGGGATATTTATTTATTAATCTTGAAAAATGACACAAGAAATACATGTTCAGTGTAAAAACAGACCATTGCAGAAGTGCTTAAAGTGGAATGTGAAAGTACCTCTCTGTCCATAAACCTTTTTAGAGGTAATAATTGTTCATAGTTTGTTATATATCATTTCATATATTGTTTTGATCGTATATAAAGTATACATATGTAATATAGCTATTAATAAAATGAATTAATTTTACTCCTCTGTCACTCCTTTAGAATGTTCTTATAACGGGGGCACCTGGGTGGCTCAGTCGGTTAAGCATCCAACTCTCGATTTCAGCTCTGGTCATGATCGTGAGGGTTGTGAGATCGTGAGGGTCATGAGACCAAACCCCACATCAGGCTCCATGCTGAGCGTGGAGTCTGCTCAAGATTATCTCTTTTCCTCCCCCTCGGCCCCTCCTCTCTCTCTAAAAAAAATAAAAAAGAATGTTCTTAGAACTACACAAGCAATAACTAGGCATTTCTAGTTATAAGAATTCAAACAATAAAAAAAAAAGAATTCAAACAATAAAGAAATATGTAGAAGAAAGAGTAAGTATGCACAAGTGATTTCAAGGTCAGATTTTTTAGTGAGGATGCATTTACTGTATCCATGAGCCGTTCTTCCCGGGGACCATTGTTACTTTTAACCCCAAACACCTTTCTCCCAAATGAACCTTCCATTTCTGTTCATTGAAATATCATTATTGCTCTGATACAATTGTGGCAATATGACATTGTCAAATATGACCCTGGGGAAAAATGTTCTACTGCTTGGAAAGTCAACAGGCACCTGTTGGAAATAATTTCTCTAGGCAAACTATGCCATAATATTTGCGTGTTTATAGCATTGTTTTCTGAAGCTATCAAGCGTTACGGCAAAACTGCAGGATTAGCCATCCTTTGATATCCTTAGGCTGGAGAAATACCATCGTCGTTATTGCCTTGCAGAAGCAGGAGAACAAAATGCTTAAAGCCCTGTAATGAGAATAGAATTGATTTCTGACAATGCTCTGGGACTGGGCATACAACAATTTCCACTCCCTTTTATTGTTCGTAATCCTTACCTCTATTTATCGAAGGTACCTACTCTTTGTAGGCACCAGGTGAAGTGCTTTACATACATTATTACATCAATCTCATTTAATTCTCCCTACTCTCCATTGGCTTACATTTTATTGTCCCCATTTTACAGATGAGGAAACCAAGCCTAGAAAGCTTAAGTAACTTGTATTAACTAATTGTGTATCAGGTAGTGATTAGGGTTGGGAGGGGGGAAAGGATAGTCACATAGTTCACAAAGACAGTGGCCTAGACTTGTTCTCTGGTCTACACTCTAGACCCCTTGAGGGTTCACCCAGTCTCCTACTCCATCTGCCCTAGATGGCTGGAAACCCTTCTCTTTACAAGTCACCATCATCATGAAAACTTTATTGAATATAACCTATCCGTTGAGTAGAGTTTTATTTGTTTATTTATTTTTAAAAAGATTTTATTTATTATTTATTTGACAGAGAGAGAGCACGACAGCAGGAACACAAGCAGGGGGAGTGGGAGAGGGAGAAGCAGGCTTCCCGCTGAGCAGGGAGCCCGATACGGGGCTTGATCCCAGGACTCTGGGATCACAACCCGAGCCGAAGGCATTTAACCGACTGAGCCACCCAGGTGCCCCTCGTTGAGTAGAGTTTTAAATAATCCCATGGCCCAGGTGTAAGTGAGTGATCCATTCAGCAAAGTTTTATTTGAACACCTGTAAGTGACAGGTGTAAAGGGCTGTAATGGATAAAAGTGAATCAGACACAAGTCCTGCCCATAAAGGCCCACAATCTAAAGATTTTTGAGGAAGGGCACCTGGGTGGCTCAGATGGTTAAGCGACTGCCTTCGGCTCAGGTCATGATCCCGGAGTCCCGGGATCGAGTCCCGCATCGGGCTCCCTGCTCAGCAGGGAGTCTGCTTCTCCCTCTGACCCTCCCCCCTCTCATGCTCTCTATCTCTCACACTCTCTCTCTAAAATAAATAAATAAAATCTTAAAAGATTTTTGAGGAAAATTGGAGATTTATGGCCTCTGTGTCTTTTAATTTGTTATATTATTCAAATCTTGCTTTATTTGACATGGAATTCTTAGTCTGAATTGAATTATTATAGCAATTTTCCAACAGGAAAAATAAAACCTGCTTTTGATGTGCTTTCTAGGAATCCATTATGACAAAATATAGGGGTTGCTTTTAGCACCCTAGAGACAGGGAAGTTTTATGCATCCTTTTCAATTCTTTCACTCGGAAGGTATATTTACTCATAATTCATTTACCCAGAGAAGGAAAGATGAAGAAACTCTCCCATTTTCCCTCCCAAGTCTTGAGGTGACTAGAGAAAGTCTTGGAATATAGATCAATTAAACATGTCATGGAAAGGTTTGACTTACGCCTTTTTAAATATCTCAAGTTTTATTCTATCTCTTCGCCTCCCCCGTTTGTAAAATTTGCTATCAGCTCTAAAATTATGATCATTCAGTTTTCTAAAAAAAAAAAAGGTCGTGATGTGTAATAGCCTGGATAAATTAGCGTTCTGAAGACATTGCCTAGAATGTAAAGAGAAGCACCTAAGAATTTGGATGAAATTCTAATATATTTTCACACAAGGTATTGACAGGTTGGCCTACAGTCCACAAGGGACGTATTTGCAGACAAGTTCCTTCTATGACTGTGCAGGGTCTCATCAGTTATATTAATTGCATTTCAGACCCATCAGACCTTCCTCACTGTTGAGAAATACGAAGCTGCATCAGCAACATGGCAAATAGTGCATAATGATGCCTCCTGGGAGACTCGGTGAGCATGTCTGTTGGATATTTTGTCTTTCAAGCCTTGACAACAGTTGGTTAGTAATGCAGGGAAGACAAATGGGAAGCCTGGCTCAATGCATGATATTAATGATAGCAAATTCCCAAGGAGACTTCTGGCCATATTTAGTTGATTTATTAGACTTCATTTTGATTCTGTTTTTCTGCAAAACAGTGTGGTGTGCGCTTCTGGAAGATTAGGTGCTAATGAGGTTATGGCCTCCATTTTTGTAAACATCTGTTAGTTTTGCTTTTTTCTGTGGCCGCAGACATTACCCCTAAAGACTGGCTAGCCTTCCTGCAAACTGGCTGAAAGGCATACTGGTCTGGAGGTGTTGCTATCGCTCTATGGAGCCTGATAGTCCTTCTGGGAAAATCACGAGTCTATATGCAAAATATATTGTACGTATACACGTCGATGATTCTTCATTTGAACCAAAAGCATTATTTGGAAGATTTGAAAATGTGTCCAAAATAAGAAAGTGTTTCTGCTCCCGAGTGTATACCATTTCACACCGCACAACAAGTGGGCAAAGGTTTTGCCAATTTGTGTCTAATTTGGATCGTCTTAAACTAAGTGATGGGTTGCGTGTCAGTTTGCTTCCCGTGGCTAACCGAAAATCGAAGTTTGACCATACTGTGGCCCCTTTGATAATCACACATAAATATGGGCATACATTTTCCTCTGATCTTTAGGACTCTGGGGCATAGGTCATTTTTAAAGAAATAATAAATTTATATTTATTATTAAAACAAGATTATACAGATAATAAAAAACGATGATTTTTAAGCCCCAAATCAGAATAGCAGTGAACACGGAGGACATGGATAGGCCTCCATCCTGTTCACCAGCAGGAATATCTCTGTCATGCGAGCACTGGGCCCATCCTTGAAAAACACAGAATGTTGAGAATACCCTCTCTGCCCAGAGCACTGACTCTCTACACCAGTGGGGACATCAGTCGGTTAGCCCATCGTATCTCACTTACCTAGCAGTGTGTCTGAACTCCTTGTGGTTGTCTGCAAGGACCGATGTGAGCTGACTGTTTCTGTAAGCTCAAGCACTGTGCCACACCCCACCCGGCTCTGATCCTACCAGAACATTCTGTTCCTCCACTGCACCCTGTGCTCTCCCACTGAAGCCACTTTGCATCTCTGTTCCTTCTTTCAGGAAATCTTTCCTCTGAGCATGTGTGGGTTCCATTTAAATAACATCTCCCTAGAGATACCTCTGCCTTACTTGGTTCATTTCACTTAGCACTTTTAAGATCATTTGTCGATTTCTTGTGTATTACCTTTCTTCCCGCCCTGCCCCAGAGGGGCATACGCTCCATGGAACCTTGGGCCATGTCTGTCTTGCTCACTACCGTAACCTCAGACCTCTAGAATAGAGTCTGGCATGGGCACTCATTAACTATATACTTTTAACAAATGAATCTAGATGGGAGTTTCAGTATCAGTCAACACAGAGGATGGGCAAAAGGAATGTTCTAGCATTTCTCACGCAAGAGACATCCTGTATTCTGAGTATCAGGTGAGGGAGGCTCCCCGGGGTGGATAGTGTTTAGGTAGTTAGAAAGGTAGAACAAGTAAAACTATTTCTACAAATGGCTATTTCCTAAAGGATCTCTTCTAGAAAGTGAATATTATTTGTCCCTGTTTTGTTCATTGCTGCACTCCCAATATCCAGGATAGTGCTTTGGTTAGGGTAGGTACTCCCTGAATACTCATTCATTTTTCTAATCACACATTTTTAAGAGTAAAACTTGGCTGGCTTGTTTGTTTTCTACCAACAGTTTCTATTGGCACAAGGGACTGCTGGGTCACAGCAATGCCACCATCCAATGGCATATTCCAGACACTGCCCAGCCTGGAACCTACAGAATAAGATACTTCGGACACAATCGGAAGCAGGACTTTCTCAAGCCGGCGGTCATCCTTCCATTTGAAAGCACTTCCTCTACCTTTGAAGTAGTAACTACTTAATGAAGAGTTGATAGTTCATTGAAAGAGCAGCCACACTCTATAATTTATAAAAATTATTTCACATGAATGTAAACTGTGATGATGACTTCGATAATTGTCTCTGTTGGGGGACAGATAGTTTACTGCGAGTGGGACAGAGGGGTGTGTGTGCATGTGGGTCCCATTCGCCTTGCTCTAGGAGCTTCACACCCCTGATGGTCTAGACCCTAACGCATGACATCAGGGCCTTGCGGCTATTTGAAGGAACACGTCCCCTCAATATGAAGCCTCTGAAAAATGAGTGAGTGAGAGTGCTTGGAGATGTGTGAACAATGGTACACCTATCTATGTGTAGAATTATTGAATGTTAGTGCTGGGAAAGTTTAAAGAGATTGTGGACTTTGATTCTTTCTTTTGCAGATGGGAACAACGAAGTTTTATGGATTTGAGATTAACAAAGGCTCCAGGACCTCCCCCCACCCCCTGCCCCCATCACACCTAAATATATATTATATAAACACTGACCATAAATGTATACACCCAATTAGAGAAAATTAGTGTGGAGATTAGTATGCCGACCATTCTGTCTTGAGCGTAGCCTCTCAAAGCCATTACCCTGGAGTCAATGTACCTGATCCAGAGCTGTTAATGCTGGTAAATTATTTCTGGCATTGCCTTCTGAGGCCAATCACAAGGAAGACCTGTAATATTTTGATCATGCCTTGTGTTCCCTAACTGCCCTTATGCCCCCGAATTGTGTCTCCTATTCCCAAGACCGGTTCTAAGGGATTTTGACTGTTTTCACTAATCACATTCACCCCCAAAACACAAGCTTTACCATTAGTCTAGATATTTAAAACAAAAGTGTTACTGGATTGGAAGGGGGTCCTCGAAGGGCAAGGTCTAAATTCATTTATCTGTTCTTTTATCACTCACTTACTCATGGACTCGTTCAATCACAGAATATTTATTAAGACCTACATACCCCGTATTGTACTGGAGCCTGGCCTTGACAATTATTGTGATCATATTTGGGATGAATGTGTAAGTGTCAAAAGGGGACTATTTTGAAGGAGAAAATTCAGTATATAAATTCAGTATATAAATTCTGGAAGATATTTAAAAAGCAGTAATCTCCGAGTCCTATCTTAAATATAGTCTGGGTTGGGTGCTTTAATTTTGGGGGAAAGAGGCTCCAGACCATTTGGAAAAAGCTGTTTTCGTAGTTATTTGGGGGCACCGTGAAATACCCAGCCCAGTGTCTGGAAGAATGAGATATGACAGTTTGACATTGATTGCTCAGAAGATAACAATTCCATTTAAAATTATCCAGGTTAACGAGGCGCTAGCTCCCAGGCTACCAAAGTAAATTTCCAAAAGCCAAGTCATGCTTTTTTATGTACATGAAAGCTTTCACATTTTAGGGGGAAAAAAATAACCCTTTATTTCAAAAACAAACTTTAAGGCTTGAAAATAGTAATAATACTAAGAACAATAATCCTAGCGTTCACTTATGTATGACTAAACACGCTATATCACATTGGAATGAACCTGGGACACTCTTTGAAGGACCAGGGTTCTGGTTCTGTGGGAGTTCACTGCTGGAGAATTAGCTCATCGAGATTCCAAAGAGTAGTGATCATTTTCCCTAAGGACGCACAGTGTTTAGTGTTAACAGTTCAGAGGCTTCCAGGAGCAGGGAATTCTGAAAGTAGTTGACCTTAGGCAGATAAATGACATTAGGATGGATGATCAGATTTTAAAAAGTATTTCTCATGATTCAGAGGCGCTTTTGAATTATTTTTCACTACCTCCATGCCTCCCACTGAAGCTCTCCAGTGGGCGTGTGATTCCCTGTCGGTTACTTGCAACTGTGCCAAGCCAGACACGGCATTGCCCTGGTGCTGAGCCTTCTGCACCTGCCCTCGGTCCACCAGTACTCCTGGCCCCAAATAACCCACAGAAACCTGTTTGCTCACTCGCTGCTGTCTCTTCCAACCCGCGCAGTTCCGTTTCTGTGGTTTGTATGGGAAAATAAGACCAGATCCTGCATGATAGAAACCATAGCTATTCACTCCTGCATTAGGCAACACCACAAAGAGGCAGAACGGACCTGTGAATATACAAACCTACATCCCAGCTGTGTTTGTAGCCTGCTGCTGGGAGTGGTTCATTGGAGCTAAACTGTGTGGTGAAAGCTCCTGAAATTGCTGGAGAACATGGGGAAAAAGGAGTGTGGTTGGTGGGAGAAGGCATCTGCAGAAGATACTGTGTCTCATGTCAAAGTGTCGGTGTTCTGTTTGTTGTCATCTGTCCACTCTGGTTTGAAGGATGCCGTGACTTTCTCGGAAAGTACCAAATGATCCCTCTATATTTTTCAATGAGTATTATGTAAAATTGCAAATACGCAATATCATACTTAATAATAAATTAATAAGTACCATTGGGAAAGTATGTTCTGTTGAGAAGGGATGCAGACAAATGATGACATTTTTTCCTAAGAGAAGGAAGGAATGGTGCTGGATTCCGTGTAGGTCAGGCTGGGAAGTGATGTGAATGGCGTCTGTGAGTACCACCCAAACATAAGGGGTCCCCTTCATCGGTTCCTTCTGGCCCTCCAAAGATTTATTGCTGGAAAATACATACGGTTTTTGAACATTTTTTACTACTAGGGCAACTGAGCTTTTCCTAGGCAGGAGGTTATCTGTAAAATTGTTTCATGAGCCAATTCTGAACAAAGACGTGAAGAAGGAATATGCTTGTGAATGTCCTTCTCTGATTTACCCTCTCGTGCTTCTCCAATGTAGGCGAATACACTGTCCTTCTTTAATAGGAGCACATGGATTTCATCTTTAGCCCAAAAATTTCATCATTAGATGATCCTTTCATGTCTTTAGTTCTTCCAATAGTGATTTTGGCTCCTGGGTATCCTAATCTCACCTGCCGGCTTATACTGGCTTTGGAATATCATGATGCCACAGAGGAAAATTTGCATGTTTCTTACATGATTAGTTAGACTGTGTTCACCTGTAAGTAACAAAATATTCCTGATCAACAGGGGTCCAAATGCTAAAGACACTAACAATCACACATAGCAGTAAATCCTAAGGTGACAAAGTCAGGTTTCCCACAACCATTCCATGATGTCACTGGCTTTTTTTTCCTTAACATACCAACTTTAATTCTCAGGCTTGTCACCTCAGTCTAAAGAGAGCTACTTCATGTCTTCCAGCAGCAAGAAGGAAGAGGAGAGTTTCCAGAATCCCTTTTTGGAAGGTAAAAAATACTTAGTAGAAACCCAAGTAGAACCCCCCTTACATTTCCTTGTCTACAGTTGGGTCACATAGCTTCAAGGGAGCCTGAGAGAATATTTGGCATTTTCTGCCTCTGGACGGGGAGGCAGGTTTTGATCAGCAGGGAGAAAGAGATGGTGCAAGTAGCTGTTCAGTAAGAGGGTCAACAGACTCTTTGTGACCAGCATTCCCGTTACCATGATAGGCAAGCAATACTAACCGCAGAGCCAACCTAACAGCTCTTTGATATAATCGGCACTCCTTTTATTTTAGCCAGTCTGTTTCAGGAAAGAACAAATCTTGGAACCTTGATGGCAACAGGACTTGCTCTCTAAACTGCAAAATCTATGTGTTCATTCAGCAAATTTACACGGAGCACCTAAATACTTTGTGGGCACTGTGCTACCCCCTAAGGATACAGTAATGATCAAGACAGCAAGTTCTTGCCATCAAGGAACTTCGAGTCTTAATGGAAGAAACAGACAGGTAGAGAGGCCATTCTGTACAGAGTGACCCAGATTGCAGCTGTTTAGGCTGTTAGAGATGGTATCTTATTGGGTTTGGGGATATTATAGTAGGCTTCCTGGGGGAAATAACATCTAAGCTAAGACCCGAAGGATATTAGCTAAAAGAAAGGTAATGGTGTGTGTGTGTGTGTGTGTGTGTGTGTGTGTGTGTGTTTTTACATGCATGGATACAGGATGACTACACTTTTTAGGTAGGGGGAATATCAGATAGTTTAATCAAGCCTGTAGTTACAGTGCAAGGGAAGAATGATGGTCAGAGATGGAGCCCTGAACTTCACCTTCATAAATAGCAATTTGGTGTTATATTCATATTAGCATTTCCCCCCTTAAGACCCTTCACATAATGTGAATGCACTTGAATGTATTTTCCCTTTGCTAAACTAACAAGACACATCTTTTAGAACTAAGGAAACTGATTTTGGTTCCCAGTCTCCAGTGACATTGGGTATCAACTTTCTGTCTTCATAGGCTGTAACCATTTCTTGGAATTGGATTTATTAAGACTACTTTTGCTTCTGTCCATCTCATGTTTCCAAACCTTGATTTTCTTTTGCTTTTTTTACGCCTACTAAGTGGGTGAGTATAGCGCATAAAGACCACTCTCTCCCTTTAGATGGAGTCCAGAGTTCCAGCCTACATCTTATAAGTACTTATTACAACTAAAAAACTGACACACCCACATATACTTCAAAATTACTTTGGACTGCATAATTTCCCGGTACCATTATTTGAGGAAGTCTTTTTTTTTTTTTTTTTTTTTGGCTGTGTTTTAGGATAATGAGCAATCAGAAACCTGGGATATTGGCTTAACACTAACAGAAGAAAACAAACCTACCACCCCACTCTCTGAATCCCCACTCTCAGGAAAGATTGACATGACCATATTCCCTGCTCTCTTGGAGCTTCCTTGTTCATTACAAGACCAGGGTAAGCCAGTGAATATCAGAACTTAACATCCCAGCCATTGTAACTTTGGAAAAAAGTCCAACATGGACCCACAACATCCCTAAGTGGAATTTCAATAAACTGGCTTGTATGATTTTATAAAGTTGGCACCACCACAATGAGAGTATGTACTTTGAATGTCTTTCTGAAGCTGTGGATGGTGTTGTGCTGACACATTGCCACTCTTTTATCACTTTCTCTTAGCCTCCAGTCCACAGATGTAAACTATCTCAGGGAGACTAAGGGGTAGCTTTTA